GTCCACGAGAAGCATAAAAAGTACGAGCTTTACAATCTGCAAGATGCCGTTACACTGCTTAAAGAAAGGTTGCAATATCTTCGCCGAAACGAGGCCTTGATTCGCGGTGAAATCCAAAGCTTGCCAAGGTCTCTTAATGGACCACAGGGAAATGTGGCTGAGAAGACAGTAGAGTCTGTTTCATTGTCGCAGTCTGGCCTTCAGAGACGTTATGCCCTGTTAGCGCCAATGGGTTATACCTGGACCAACCTCCTGAGCTGCATGACATTAGACGTATAGAACTGTCACTTTGCGGTCCATTAGAAATCAACTTTATGCACTGCCCTTGAATATGCCAGGAGTTTCAGAAACGCTGTCAAAGAAAGTATAAAGAAGACAACGAACTGGGCGGCATTTTATTATACCAACCCAAAGTCGTGGTATCCCGTTCCAGACCCCGCAGTGGCACTCATCGAAATTTCATTAGCACCACAACTTCCACCTGGGTTAGTAAGTGCCCAAGAGGCCCAGCTTATGAGGGAACGGGCACAAACCTTCGGAGCTGCAGTTCGTTAAAGAACGGTCCGACAAGAAATGACCACGGCTAGGGCTGTAATGCTGCCCGATTTCTTGTACGAGAAAGACATTGTGCCAGGGGAAAGCGTTGACCTAACAGGAGATATCGGCCTTCCTGACGAACATGATGCAAGTAGCAGTGCGGGAGAAGAAGAAACCGAAGACTAAGTAGGAGAAGGATCTGTAAGGGTCGCCACTTTGGATGGTGAAGCAAACTTCCTGCTTGGGAGGGTGTCCGCATTTGGTCGTGCTGTTAGATTAAATAGCAGTTTTATGTTTTCTTAAAAGAGACCAGTGTGTTTATATACAATTTCCATGTCCTAAACTCAATGTAAACAACTGACAGAATTGGCTTCATCACCTGACGGAAACTAGCACCAAAGCAGTGGAATCTTCGTAAGACAGACAGATAACATCAATCTATCTAATTCCAAGAATACTGGACTTAAAGTATCGAGGTAAACATTTACTGATGCGAGAACCAAAAAATAATTAAGCAAAACAGAAAAGAAAGTTATGGTCGCTAATTGTGATGCTGAGAACCTGGACCATCAAAACTGACAACTGATAGAAGTTAAATCATAACGCCTATTTCAATGATCAAGCAAAACATGTCAAAAATCTCGCAAAAAATGGGGCCGGATCGGGATCCGGGCGTAAAAAGGGGCGGGATGGCGGGATTGAGGAGAAAAAAAGGCGGGAAAGCGGGATTTGCGAACCCCTATTCTGGACCCTCTTTACACTTGTCTCACGCTGTAGATCTTCCTTGGGAGTTTTTTTGCGCTATAAAAGCAATCTCTTAAATCATTATTTACAAAAAGACGAAAATGATTTACAACTCCTTGTATTAGCAGCTGCGAAGACCACTCTTAGCTAATCATCGAAAACTGATAGTCACGAGCTTATCGTCTTTTGAAAGAGAAAACGTCAGCTATCAAAATAAGACTGCTAAAAAATATCATTTCAAGGCAACACTGCATATTAAAGTCGTATCGTGGCCGGTTAATGAGCCAAAACTAACGAGTTTCATCAGACTGGAACTCTACGCAGCAATGCACTCAGGTAGGTTTGTTTTGATATGTCTGTGCTACTCGAAGGTCAAAGAGCTTGAATGATTTTTTGAGAAAAGTTAGTTTCTCGAAATACTGCCAGTACACAGCCTATAACCCTAACTCAAAATATCGCATTGAATATCGAATGCGTGCATGTATAAACAGTCTCGGAGAAACAGAATTGAAAGATTGAATGAAAAGATTGAAGGAAAAGGACTTGTGCTCTTCTTCAACTGTTATAGAATCTGAAAAACTTGCCTAATAAATAAGGTAATTTTGGGTTTATCAACGGAGTCGATAAAGTAAATTGGCCACCTTAAAAGAGTTTTAAAGCTGACTTTTAAAGCGTTAGCCCTTAGCCATTTGTTCTGATGAAGGGCTTACGTTCGAAATGTCAGCTTCGAAACTCTTTACTGGGGCCATTTTACTTTATCAACTCTGTTGTTAAAATTCTTAGTCTGGCCCGAAACATAGTTATACCCATAAACATAAATTTTGTTGTTTTGTTATAGATTATAATTTGCTACTTGACTGCCAAAAATTGCAAATGCAATTTATCCTCGTGTACCTTGTTATGACTCTGAGACAAGTCACGGCCGGTGGTAAGCTGCTAATATTTTTTTGCAAGTCTTATCACAGTTTGTACTTAATGCTGGAGTAACTTACAAATAAAAAAAAAATTTATGAGGGAGTTTGGACTCCCAAACTGGAAATATCAGCATTAAGCATCGATATCTTTTTGTGGCAGGAAACCTTAGAGTTATAAGGAAACCTTAAAGTTCACAAGTTTTGATTTAGTATTGATTGTAATTAGTTTTTAAAACCCATTTAGTGGAAAACTAATAAAGAGGACCACTTAGTCATAGTTTGCTTCGGTCGATTTGTAACCGTTTTCTGCCCAAGATAATAACCATCTAGTTGTCGCACCAATTTAATTTTCGCCTGCAGAAAGAAAAATTCAATATAGCCAGTGCTGTAATAATAAGTAACACGACTTCACAGACTTTCCATTTATAATAGAGCAGGTTCCTAAACGAGTTTCCCCAAGATATTTCAAAGGTACTGGCCAGTTTTCTTTACTTAAGCTTTTTCATGGATATCTTGTTGCAGACTGTGCGTATTCTGCAGTCGCGAAAAATGATCCCTGTTTTGGACTCAATAATCACGTGACAGAGGAGAGATGCAGACGACTGAGCGAAGAGTGTTGTGTTTATACAAAAAGAAGAGGGATGGTAAAATGCCTCCGAACTAAAGAAAAGCAGCCCAATAAAGGTAGCAATGAACCATCTACCCGATTTGGGTACCAGTCCGTAATTTTGTGTCAGAATAGTCCATTTTACAGTTGTGTGCTTGGCTGCCAAGCCTTCGGACCGGAGTGAGACAAGGGGTGACCTTTTTATGATACAAAGCTTGCTGCCTTTTAAATGTAAATCACTTTACGTATGATGCACGATCCTCGCAGTAGATAGCGCTATTTATGCAATAGCGAAAATCAGACCTGAACAAAATCAGGCCTGTACGGGATTCGAACCACTGACCTCTGCGATACTAGTTTAGCGCTCTACCAATTGAGCGTGCATCATACGTATCTAATACCGCAGTTCAAAATATATGAACTTCATATATTTCATTGTATCTGATTTATCACGTTCACGGGTTTATTACGAATCAACTTAACGGCCTGCTCCCAGTTGGCTTGTTAGCTCAATTGGTAGAGCGCTGCACTAGTATCGCAGAGGTCAGTGGTTCGAATCCCGTACAGGCCTGATTTTTTTCAGGTCTGATTTTCGCTATCGCTTAGATAGCGCTATCTACTGCGAGGATCGTGCATCATACGTATCTAATACCGCAGTTCAAAATATATGAACTTCATATATTTCATTGTATCTGGTAATTCACTTTGTTATCATGCTAACTAGATACAGGTCTCTATCACAACAAGGTCACCTTTAGCCTCACTCTGAATCAAAGGCTTGGCAACTAAGTACACAACTGTAAAATGGCCTATTGAACTCTTCGTGTGGTCTGCTTCCTTCCACGCTTTATTTGGGAATTGAACCCGCTTGGGTTCAACTCCTACAGGGAAAACCGAAGCAGGAGAATTAAGAAACAGGACAAAACATAGAAAGTGCCCTTATCTCATATAACTTTGGAAACCTTGCCTTTAAACAGCCAAGAAGCAAATCAAAACAATTTAAAAATGCTGAAGTTGGAATTTCGCGCGCGGTTTAAACGGAGAAAATATACGAAATTAGACCGTTTCAGCATACAATTGTGCCCAACCAATCAACAAACCGTTTTAATAAAGTCACACCTTATTTAGCGCCTCTGATATTTCCTCCTTTTTAAGGTGGCTGCAACAAAGTTTCATTAATACAAAGTAGACCACTGAGTCACCAATTTTTGGAAGGTGACGTTCTCCTGGAGCTCAAAGTTGTCTCTGAGCTCCATTGCTGGGACTGCTGCATGCGGCATCAATCTTGCAAAGCCTACAATTACTACCAAGCCAATGATCCATCGTTAGAAAACTGTCAGTTGTTAAAAAGTGATATTGGGCAGTTAACACACAGAGAGAGTCACACCTATTACGTTCTATCCAAGCAATACAAGGATTTACAGGTGAGGGACTTAATCACCTGGGGGGGAGGGGGGGGAAGTGGTCGGAGGATATATTTGTTTATTTTGATACGAACAAAATCCTCCCATTCCCCCTCCCCCCAGGCGATAAATGACAACGCACTATTCTCCAAAAGTTTACTTTTCAAGTTTTTCACTTTCAGGATCTCAAATACTCATCGTCGTGATTCTTCTCTATATATGTCCAATAGCTTATATTTTGTTTCCCAGATTTTGCTGGGAAGTACGTGTCACTAAAGGAAGTTACTGAAATCCTCTCGAGATCCTTACAGACAATGGACTAGACTCAAGGATCGACAGTGTAAAGAGGACTCAAGTGTATGTAACAATTATCGATGTGAAGACTAAACGTTTCTTGAAAGGGAAAGCTGCGTGACTCTTCTCAAGAAACGGCTACGAAGGAGACTTCGATGACATGTAGAGTCTTAGTAATAATAAAAATATCCCTATTTTCCTTTATAGGTAATAAAGCTATTATTTGTACCAGAACTAATAAAGATAGTGATTTTCGATTTCATGCTTCTTAAAAGCTTTTTCCTCGTATTGCGTGACAACATATCGAGTCGATCACACAAACTGTCACGCTTTCTCAAGACATGATTAAAGCAAATTTTTCGATTTCAAAAAGAGCATTGATCTTTTCGAATATAGCCTCAGTAAAGTAACAAATGAAACTGTTTGAGAGTCGTTTTCAACATTCAACTTAGTCGACTGGTTGCTCATTTGTTTATTTGCATTGGTACAACCAGCTGTTTATGATTTACATATTACGTGTAGTTAAATATTCAAGACAACAGTTAAACCACTAAAAAACCGAAACGTTTCGCTTGTGAGGTGTCCCTGCATTTTCTAAGGCAGTTTTCATTTTTCATTATTTTCGAATGACACAAAATGCCGGAAAGATCGCTGAAGAATTGGTTTAAGCTCGCCTTTCACTTATTTGTGAGTGACCAGTGGGATAAAGTCGAAGAAATCGTGCAGGAAAATGATTCCACGTACAGATGGCTGAAGGAACAAATTCTGCGCGAGATACGCAAGGTAGAAGAAAATGCTTTTCGCAGTTTTCTCGGCTCCGCAGCACTGAATATCCGCGACAGGTTGATCACCATAAAACATGTGAATCCAGACGAAGAAATTTTCAACAAGGTCAAATTTTGGCTGAAGCAGCAGACGGGAAAATTTGTTTTAGAAGACAGTGACATCGCGACAGAAGACAGGGTATTAGGATGCAAGATCGCTTTGCTCGAGGCGTCGTTCATCTACCTCGACGAGAGCGAGATGGTCGCGAATTTATTTCGGCATCTGCTAAATAAGCTGCGAGGTATTGCCGGAGTTGATTCTGCCATTGAAGAAAAAAACAACCCTACAGTTTTGGCCCAGGTCAAAGTCATCAACGATGCAGCGATGGAATACGTAAGAAGCATTGGGCAAGAACTTGGAGAGTGGCCCGACTTTGATATCTTCGCTGAGGCCCTACCGAGTGAGAAGATTGATTATGAGCCCCCAGCGATTTGGTGCTTCGGTGATTATGGTATGGCCGATGGTCAAATGTGCTACCCAGAGAAAGTGGCCATTGATGAAGAGGGGCAGTTCCTTGTGTTGGAAGAGCACACGATCGGAATGGGAGACGTCGTGACCATCCAACGGATTCAGCTCTTTAATGCTAAAGGAAAGTTCTTGAAATGTCTTTTGAAGCGGGGCGAAGGGAAGGTCAACGGTATGATGGATTTCTGCCTCACCAAAGATGGAAACATTCTTGTCGCAGACGAAAATGAAAACGGCGTTGGCATGATTCAGATTTTCGATTACGAAGGTAACAGGCTCCTACAAATCATTCCGGAGGTCCATGATCAAGAAGTCCATCCCCGCTTCTCAAGCGTTGCTATTGATCCCGATGGTAATATTATCGCGGGGGATTCCTCAAGCTTGAGTATCTACATCCTGAGCACCACGGACGGAAAGACCCTTTGCAAGTTTGGAAAGTTTGGTCGTGAAGAGGGCGAATTCCAGGCTATCAGTAATGTCAGCTGTGACGATTCCGGTAAGATCTACGTGTCCGATCCAGCGCTGAACAGAATCCAAATTTTCAATGAAGCTGGCGACTACCTACATACATTTGGTCCAAGGGGTACTCACTTGCGCTTCTTGCTGTTTGATTCTGCGAGTGGTGAGGTTTACGGCTCTGACTACAGAAATCACAAGGTGAAAGTGTACTCCACGACTGGGGAACCTCTCAGGGAGCACGGAAACTATGGCACCGCCCTACATGAGTGTTGGTTCCCATTAGGACTGGCTCTGACGCCTGATGGGAAGATTGCTATAGCTGAGAGAGAGAATCACAGGATCACAGTGTTAAAGATATAAGGTGAACCAAAATCTAAGCACATCGATCGTATGTGATATCAGCATAGCTTGCCAAATAGTTCTTCCAAGGAAGCTTCCCCCCCAAGCCCCGCTCCTAGATTCGCCACTGGATTTTGAGTGGAGCATCCAATCGGTTTTGTGAGAGTTGGTTGGAAACTTTTCTTGTGTCATTTACGTATATTAAAAGCTACGAGTTTTACATCTGTTTTAATTATGAATAGAGGAATTTATCAATAGTTTTGCATGCAACAAGCACTTTTATCATTGATTTATTTCTCAATCCTGCGCAGTCTAAATCGAAGAGGTTTTTCTTCACCTTTTAGACAAAATGTGTTTAGAATTGCAATTAAAACAAAAATCAGTTATATAGAAACAATGATACAATGGCATTTTATATATCTGACAAGCACAAATTTTGTGGCTCTATCATATATTTTTTATATTTCCTTTGCAGATGACGATTGAAAGATTGACGGATGAGGAAGAAGAGGAAAAATTTTGTGAAAATCTTTGAAAATTTTGTTGGGGAATGTTAGTTATGAATTAAGTCATCGATTAAATGTACTAGTAAATATTTTAATATTTACTTATTAAAATTATGTCACCAAATTGTAAGTGATTGCATCAGAGAGTGGGACAGATTTTACAATATTGTACACAAAATCCGTAAGCAATTTTACTGTAAGAAAGAAGTTGTAATTTCACGCGTTTTGTCCGCGTAACAAGAAAGGGGAAACGTGCTGTTGGGTAATTAGAATTTAATATAGACAGATTGCGATCGGTTTTGGGTTGGGATTTTACTGTACTCGTAGTTGTGGGAAAAATACTAACAAATATAGTTATGAAAGACGATCTATATTGTGGTAGATTGTAGTTTAAGTTAGATTTTCTCGAACGTTTGAACTGTTATAACGAGAGAATTGACAAAATCGTCTGAGCGGTTATGTTGGAATTGTTAGAATTGTTAAAAGGAATTTTCAGAACGTCGGCGGTGTTCGTCGAGAATAAATCTTGGGATAAAAAGATAGTTTACAGACGTCTTCGATTTAACAAATGGTAAACACCACAGCGTACACTATTGAGTTATGGATGCACGCGGGAGGTTGCTAAGCACGAAAGAAGCGTAAGAGTCGCTCGAGGCGGGGGACGCTAAATTGACCAATCAGA